AAGACGGATGGCAGGCCCTGGATGTTATCACGCAGAATTTCCCAATATCGACAAAGCTGCATAATTATGACTGTATGTAGCCAATGGGAAGCGAGAAAATATTGTACCGGCAGAGCTGGTTGTCTGTATAACAAGTTGCTAACTACGCTTTTGGCTTAGTTTCGATTCACCCGTTCAACGACAAACATCAAGCAACAATGACTGGTCGTGGCAAGGGAGACAAAGATCTTGGATCTAATTGATAGCAAACTACTCATGATGGGAGGAGTCTGTTTACTTTACCGGCGTGTTAAAAACGAAAGGCAATCCAAATTTCATTTGTTACATGCATGAGGCATGTAACAAAAAATGTGTTGGTGAGTTGTTTGGCGTGAATGTTCCCGAAAAATTCTGTATTTTGCTATTAGCAAATGCAAAACAAACAAATGCCGTGCCAAAGTGATTTCCTGTGCAAGTGATATGTATAAACGCGAACAAACACGAGGTCTAGTGATTATAGCAAAGCTTGCCATAAAGAAACCATCACAGTTCAGGGCTACCACAATTTCTACAAAAGAGTTGAGTTATGAAATTCACTTAATTCCAAAATAATATCCTAAACAACAAACTAGAAAATCGAACAAAAATGTCGTAGTCCTACGTCAACAATGCGGTCGTGTCTTGTACACCACCTTCCAACTTTTTCGTTTACGCGATGGTTGATCAGTTGTTGCGTTAATAGCATTTTCCATTGAAAAGTAAAGCCACACTCATAATCGCCAAAAGTGCAGGAACTCAGCGATGAGTAAATTTGTCTCATGGTTTCCTGTGGAAAACCTAAAAAATCTGCCGGAAAATGAGGGAATTGACGAAAATTTTATTCAGTCTCGGAGTAGTACCAATAGACTGAGTGAATCTAATCTTTACTTTTCTCAAATTCGGAAATCCTGGAAAATCCTGGAAAACCTGGGAAAACGGAGACAAATTTTACTCATCGCTGAGTTCCTGCACTTTTGGCGATTATGATTGAACTAAACTCAAATTTGGGTCGTTCTCATTCGCCGTGCATGTTGTAAGGTACCGATTTATTGGTTCAGACTACTTTTACGATTTTATTCAGTTTTAAGCACTACATAATTAATTTTCCGATTTTGAAGTTGTGTCATAATTTCTATAATTTCAATGTGAGCTGAAGAGCTGTTCAAAAGAATCGACTCTCTTTAGTGGGCTAGATGGGTTTTATCCACTCAGCCAGATGAGCTGTTTTGTCCACCTCTAAAGAGAGTACCAGAGCTGAGCCAAAAAGTTGAGCACGTTTCTTCGGGACCTTCTGGTCTTAGAGTTATCTCTATGGCATAACCATTACTGGAACATCTAAGCTGAAATTTGTTTTCGTTTTCGATTTTAAACACAGAAGGGTGTCATAGAGCCAGGTCTCCAATGAAAAATCACTGTCCATACTGCACCAGGGTAGATATATAGTGTTGACATCACAGAATAATAACCTCAGGCAGGGATGGAAAATCATTTACATTCATTTCGTGCATTCATTTACATTCAATTGCCTGTAACTTTTTCCATCAACAGAATACCGTAAAATAATGTATGACGCTTTTGTAGCTTTTGATATTAACTACAACTCTTGTAAATAATTAAAATCTGAATCTCTTATGCATGACGAACTAGAGCTGGCAGAACATGTTATTGTTTTTCAGTGAATGCAATTTACATTCACTGAAAAACAATGGTGGGTTCTTATCACACTGATTCATCATGCATAAGAGATACCGATTTGAGTTGTGTACAAAATATGTAGTTAATATCAAAACCAATAAAAGCTTCAAACACTATTTTACGAAATTCTGTTGATGAAAAAAGTTAGAGGCAAATGAATGTAAATGAATGTACGAAATGAATGTAAATGATTTTCCATCCCTGACCACAGGTGTCAAATGAATCCTGCTTTAAAATGCCGAATAGTGCGGAAAGTTATTCAATATAGGGAATAGTCAAAGCGACAGTGATAGTAGTTAAGGTGCAATTTACTTTAATGCATCCTGATGATAGTAATTTCCATTTAATTCCACTACCTTATTCGCTTATCCTTGACAGATACGCGTATTTCGTCTACAATATGCAGACTTCTTCAGTGTCTTGTACTAATACTAGACTACACTCAAAAAATAAATCACATTTCCAATGGAAAATATCCATTAGAATTTCACATAACTTTCATGTGATCTCATAATTGGGATTCGCACCAGCAAATCACATGAACCTTATGTGATTTATCACATAGAATTCATGTGATCATATGAATATTATGTGAATTTCAGATAAAAATCATTAATTTTGCTATTGGAAAAATATCATCTGCGTTCGCAATGGAAACTACATGAAAACTTTTTGCAGTGTAGTACAAGACTAGTCGAGTATTAGTACAAAACACCGAAGAAGTTTACAAACTGTAGACGACGACGTATCTGTCAAGGATAAACAAATAAGGTAGTGGAATTAAATGGAAATTAATTTAAAAATGAATTGGATTTTACTCTGAAATTTTCACCAGTGAAAAAAAAAGAAATCTTCACACACGAAAAAAAAATTGTGAAAATTTTCATTTTCGTTGATGTTTTTTGCAACTGTGAAAAATAACAAGGAAATGTTTTACAGATATTTTTTTATTACTGAAATAATATCCGTATCATTTACCTAAACAAATTCAATCAAAGTATTTACGATTTTCAGAGTTGGGAGGAAATGTTCTACTAATAACAACATGAAGCTTAAATGCAATAATTTATTAGCTAGAGAAAGTTCTGAAGAGGATAAATTGATAGTTCCCCTAGAGTACGGCAGTGTGAAAATTGAACAGAAGTTGAAATTGAGCGAAGGGCCATTGATTCGACAATACTAATCAAACGCGCACTCCTTTACCTAGCCCAAATCCCATCATCCATCAATGTATGAGCTAGGCAAAGGAGTACTGTCGCATTAATGGCCCTTGGCTCAATTTTCACACTGCCGTACTTTAGCGAAACTATCAATCTATACTGTTCAGAGCTTTCTCTAACTGATAAATTATCGCACTAAAGCTTTATGTTGATATTAGTATATCATTTCCTCTCAACTCTAAAAAACATTATTAAATATATATATGATTCATGAATTATGAATCCGGACACGAAAATCTTGCTGGGGTTTAAAAATGCGTTCAATGTAACAGCTATACGTTAGTATGTAATGTGCTTATTGTAAGACCATTGTTTCAGTTTTCCTCGAACTTTGCTCGTGCCATTGCTCGATCTTTTCTTCGTACACTGCCCATCATGTTTTGCACGAGCCCTGTTCCCACTTGTTTGCCTGCCAAATTCCATTTCCGCTTGAAATCCTTCAGGTCAATTGCAGTTCCACCCTTTTTCTTCAGTATGTGCTTCACAATTGACCAGTATTCTTCAATTGGCCTTAGTTCCGGAAGGGGCGTGATGAGTCCTTATGATTCTTCATGAGAGCCGAAATTTATTTAATTATTTAATCAGCAAAATTTTAAAAGAGGAACATATTTTATCGCATATTCTAAATAAAAAATAGACACATTGAAAACCAACATGTGTAATTTTATTTGAATGTAAAAAGTGTTAAATTCAATAATGTTCATATAGACATGATGTCATAGGTTTGTTCATCTACCAGGAAACTGACCTGCAAATTTCTATAGCCTAAATCAGCGATATCTTTTGCAACCTGTTTTCATACTTTAAAAGTGAACCAGATAATTTTAAACCAGGTCCTCGAACGAACCGAGAATAGAGCCTGCCAATGTACATGGCCTACTTTATAATGAAACGTAGTTATATTTCATAATCAAGGGAAACATAATGGTGCCTAAAACGACATAATATGTATAGTTAGTTAGTTAGTTAGCTTTCAACCGATGGCTGGTTCGCCTCTGCGTAAGATGTACATAATTTCAACCAACAACTGTTCGACGAAAACCCATTGATACACCATATCGTTGTAACCGATACGACCATTTCCTCACCCGAAACATCAACAAGTCGTAAATTCGTGCCTGCTCAAATTATCGACATCGATGAAATTCGACACTTAATATTGCCCAAACATCAGACTGTTTTTCCGCTTACCAAGTCCCATTTGTTTCTGTTGATATAATATGTATACTAATAAAGAAACACCCGTCGCCCGTCATCATCGCCACCCCGATCCAATATATCTAACTCAAGAAAGTGTCAATAGCAATGAAGCCTTTTCCGGTTCCTAGCTGGTGCGTAGCAATCTTTGTCTCTTACAACGCAAGAGTGGATGATGTGATACGAGCGAGAAGGAAGGGAGGAATGAGGCAATTTGGCTTTTCGTTTCGTGGAAAATGGAGCACGCATGTGATACGAGCTAATGTTTGCGTATCCATCTAACATACTACAAACATCGTCCTCTCTGTCTTCACGATCTGTGCACAATGTTTAATGTAGCTCGTCTCTGTTGATAGAACTTTAGACCTGGCAAGTCGGCTTGTCTGCATACAATATCCTTCAAGTGGAAAATTTAATTGGAAACAAAAATGAAATCCTTTCAATAGCTTGGCACGATACATTTCCCTTACTATTGTACTCAACTCAAGCAAATTATACAGACCACCCAAGAGGAAAAAAGTTGATTGCATATTCGCTTAACCTGTCACATGAAACAAACTACTGTAGACTAATGAATAGAAACTAGATTACCATCAATGGACCGTGCCCACATGGGATGGCACTTCCGCCAAGCAAAGTCAGCCACCTCCCTTGACAGGACCTGCTCAATTTCCTTTCACCCACACGACACTGCAACACTTTGTTCGTTTGAGAATATCCAATTTAATTCCATCCAACCACGTCCGCGAATTCGAATGATGTCCCACCATGCAGTATGCATCCATGCATGCATGCATCGCATTGCATGTGCCCATCCGCTCGGCAAACTAGTGGAGTAATCTTTCGTTCCTTGTATCTTTTACCTTGCAGTACACTAATGGCTCCCGACATCAGCTCCAGTTCCACGCGGTACACCATCCTCCGCCGGCGATGGTTCACCATCCACAGGAGTACCGGAAGCACCACCAGCAGCACACACCAGAGCAGCAGGTTCAAGCCGTTAAGAATAGCACTAGCAACCAGTATCTGATAGACATGGACTACATGAAGCACCGAATGGACGAACGCGTGGCACGTTTGAACGACAAGTGCACCGAGTATAGATTAAATGAACCGAGTGAGTGGAAGCCTTTATTGTCTTGCACGTCCCGTCAAAATTTAACGTCCTCTTTCTATTTTCCCTTTCCAGAGCAAAACTACAAACCGAAAGCGTGGGAATATCTCATCAATCGCGAGTATCACCTGGTGTGGTGTAACGTGTTCAAGGCGGCGTCCACCTCATGGATGTATAACTTCAACCTGTTGGCCGGTTACTCGCCCGAGTTCCTGAAGAAGACCAAAGATGTGCCACTGCAGCTAGCACGCCAAAAATATCCCCGGCCGTCGGTGGATGCGGTGAGTACATAATTATACATTGCCGTGAGATGTGAGATCAGTCCAACTTTTTCTGATCTGTAATACCACCATCGGATCATCTATTGGTAATGTTGATTTATACGATTGAGTCGTTGTTTGCGAGAAATCGACGATGGAAGTGAAAAAAAAATCAGTGGAGTCGGCATTCTCAAAACCTTCACAATTTTAAAGAAGGGTTTTTACTTTAATGTCGAGACTACACACTTAATTAATTGTCCTGATGAATGTGGGCGTCTAGAGTGAAATACCTGTACAAAGAAAGGGAGAAGGATTAGTAATTTGCATTTAATTCCACTACCTTAATTGCTTATCATTGACAGATACGCGTATTTCGCCTACAATGTACAGGCTCTGGCTCTTAAGTCTGGTATGATTTGAGATTTGGGCGTAATTGCTTTTGTAAACAAACATTTCAATCGCCGATTTTTTCGCGAATAAAAGCTCAGTCTAGGAAACTAACAACACAATCATGTAGAGGAATAATTCCTCTATCATTTGGTATAGTTTGTTCGCGAGATTGAGCTTTTATTCGCAAGAAATCTGCCATTGACGTTTTTGTTTACAAAAGCAATGTACGCCCAAATTCGGAAGTGAAAATGTACCTAGGTTTAATATTAATATTCGTTAAGTTGCGATGTGGCAAATAACAAAAAATAAAATGAATTTCAGACATGATCTTTTCCTATTTGTATGAAAGTCTAAAAATAGATTCCGGTGCAAAATTTCGAAAAAAAAGGTTTAAGGATTTTTGTTAATTTTTATGTTGTTTTGACGTAGGATTACGTCTCTCGGTCACATATTGGGGGTGTAATTTCAAAAAACCAAAATCGATCGCGTTACGAAAACTTTTCAGGTTTTGACCACTTATAACTCTGTCAATAGCGGATGGATTTTAATTCTAAACAAACAAATCGATTGGAAATTTTTAACACTTTATCAATTTTCTGTAGGTCACTATTGAAAATTACACAAATGTTCAACTGTTGCAATGGTGGTCAAAATTATCAGCGATTGCCAGCATCGCATGTGTTAGCGATTGGTTTCCCTAACACAGTCGCCGAATATTGATACCGAGCACGTAATTCTACGTCAAATCTACGGTCGTGTCTTGGATACAACTTCTTTTCTTCAAGAGGCGAACCAGCCTTTAGACTGAAAACCTCTTATATAAAGAAAAAATCAAAAAACTTCTTTTCTCTATTAATTAGATTTTTAGTCATAAGCTAGTTCATCTCATGTTAATTTAAAAGTGTCCATCTTGAAAACTTCACTGAAGACAGCATTTTATTGAAAAATATTTAAAAATATTGAAAAATATTCAAAAAATATTGAAAAATACTGAAAAGAGTGAATTTTTGTTATTTAAGTTTAAACCAATATTTATTTACGTGGAAAAATATACATGGGAAAACATTTCAAGTAATTTTGGGTAACAAATCAACCAAAATTACTTGAAATGTTTTACCACGTAAAGAAATATTTTTTCCTACCACTTAATCTGAGACATTATTTCAATTGCATATGACGCTTTTAAGTTATAAAATACAAACGCCAATCTTAGTCAAAATGGCCGAATTTCATCTCAAATTTGAATGATTGATCATGCCAAACAGTTATGCAAAGTTTAATATAAATTGTCAGATCGATTCGTCGTTTGACGTGGAACTGCTCGATGGTTTCTTCAGTTGAGCATTGGTACACTGAAGAAGTCTACACATTGTAAAATAAATACGCGTATTTGTCAAAGATAAGCAATTAAGGTAGTGGTATTAAATGGTAATTCCTAATCCTTCTCTGATTCTTTATACGCTTAATTTTGTTTGTTGATTTTTTGACGAGATCTGCACAGTCGCGCTCCCGGCAAACAAATTTTACAGAGATCTCCGGGCTTCGCGATAATGCGATTAACGGCATCACCCTTCATTCATGCGTAGGTTCCACGAAGTGAGGGTTCGATTCCCGCTCCAGTCGGTGGAACATTTCGTAAAAGGAATATTTTCCTACTGGTCTACTGGGTGTTGTTATGTGTTGTCCATTGTCTAGTATTAAGTGCTCAGTCTGTACAACCTCTCTGGATTAAGATGGTGTCTTTCTAATAAAGTGACGATTGGTCATGAAACATGTTTCAAATTGCAAAGCTCGGCAATAACTTGCCGTGCAAAAATCTATAAACAACCCTGTTGTTGATGCGATGAAATAGGTGTTGTTGTCACTGACAGGGATGGACCGCTGTTTGGAACATAGTTCATTGCAGAGGCGTCGCGTGCCTCATTTGTTTACCTGTGCACCAAACTTTGTTCGTTATAGTTTTCCACCACATATTAGTTTTTTTTTTTTCAATGCTCCATGAATTCGAAGGACATATTCTCTATTACTATATTAATCACTACCTAACGTAACATTTGAAGGGCCTATCATCTTGGGTAAACAAAACTTGTATGGCCCTTTTTGCGTTAACCGAAGTAGGAGGAATTGCAAAACTAAACTAATTCTCATTTTTATCACAAGGAAGTCGAAGAGTTCTCTTTCGACTGAAGCGTAATTAAGAATATCCGTCAAACACTTCCGAAAACATTTTTTGATACAAAACAATTTCATAATCTAGAGAAAATTCATGAAGTCCCCGGGGTAGCAAACTTGAATTAATCAACTTCATCAGAACAACACTATCAGAATGGACCAAAGTGTGGACAGGCACACCGGCGCAACCATCAGAGAGATTTGATTGAGAGATTTACAACTGACAAGAGGGTGAGAGCGAGCTTTTGCGCTCTCTTTCTCCATTACTCTCTTTGCCTGCAATCAGATATCCAAGTGCACAGCAAGAAATGCACACTTTAGGCACCCATACATCACAAATGTTCTTCTAATTTAAACTCACACATTCACACCGGTCTGCAAGTATGATACACGTCCAAAGCGTACCAGACTGCTGTTTCCGTGTTGCTCCCGTTTGACGCGTGACTGCTGAAAGTTTCAATTACAACTAGTGGTGCAAACCGCCATGTATTGTGGAAAATTTGTGGTATGTTTCAAGAGGTGATAGAAGGTCTGCTTGGCTTACATTAGGCATTTGACCATTCACAAACTTGCCACAAATGCTTAGAAATCAATGCATTAGGGATTAGGCAGACCATCCGAACTGAATTTAATCCTTTTTGAAGCAAACCAAGGTCGAAAATTTAATTGAGCCACACTATAAAACAGTTTATTCATGGTCACTTGTGGTCTGGAGTAAAGAAGTACAGCTATAATGTTGCCATAATATCTATAAAAATCTAAACACATTTTTTGAAAATTATTTACACCTATGTCGTGCACAGGTTGCACATGTGGACGCGACGCCACTGGTTCATTGCCTTCTAAGGTAGAAAGCTAACGTTGAATCCAATTGAAGTTTCAGTAAATCCATCTTAAAAAGATAGATTAATGCTATTATTCTTCCGATCAAACTTCAATTTTCCCAACGGAGAGTCACACTCTGTGTTTTCATTGACCGAGCACGGACCCAAGTGAATGTTCAGTGAAATCATGGAGTTTGGCTCAACTGTGCAAAACTTTTGAAGTACAAAACGATTCTCAGCACTGAAATGGAAGAGCTTCACTTAAAATGCAGATAAATCAGATTCGAATGTATGCAAACACACATGGGCTGAGACCAACCAACGGCTTTACTTCCCTTCCGAAGGAAGACGTGACCAGTGATTTTTATGCTTCAGAAAAATCCCACCGACCTCGGATGGGATTGAACCCAGACTCATTATGATGAGAAAGCAGTCACGCTTACCACCAGGGCGTCACAATATCAGCTTTAATCGACCAAATCGATGCGACGAAGAGACTGCTGGCTTTCTTTTTCTGTTAAAGTCGAACAGCTTCGCAGCATTCTAGAACCTCAGTCAGCGTGCACAAACAAATGTTCAATCGCTTGTCTCTCTTTCTCCCGTCGCTCCATTGGTCTTCCTTTCAAGCTTCGGTGAAACGGATGAGCGAAAGAGCGCTCGACTTTGATAGTTTTCTCTTTCATGAAACACATCAACAGAGGTTTCATGACGTAACGGGTGGTAACTAAAATTTTGGAATTTTTTCGAGGTCTCTATGCTCAACAACAAACGAGCTCAGAGAGAAATAAGAGTGTGTATGTGTTAGCTCTCTCTCTCCTCTTTCTGCTAGTATTTTCTGTTTTGTTTATGCTTGCTCAGTTTTGCTCAAAATGCCGTCGAAACAAGAAGTATTTCGCGAGCGCGTTATACAGTTCTACGAACTGCACAGAAATCTCGGCAAAAAGTATATGGTACAACATTTTAAAAGCGAAAATGTTGCGGCTTCGACTGTTTACCATATCCTAAGATCCCCAACAACTGCTCGCAAGCAAGGTAGTGGAAGACCAGCCAAAATTATGGACGCAAAAGGACTTCGTTCTCTTTCTCGTGCCATGGTTCAAGCCCTCTGGTTTGGCAATCAATCAATATGTGTACCAGAACGAATGTTTGAAGAAAATTTTGATCCCGTTTCTACAAAAACATCATGCTGATGGACAATACGTGTTTTGGCCGGATAAAGCGTCATCGCATTACGCCAAAAAACACAATCGTTCCTGAATACCCATTCGATCCCATTTGTACCCAAAAACCACAACCCGACAAATCTGCCTCAGTGTCACCCAATCGAAGATTTCTTCGGGGTTTTGAGCTCCTTGGTGTACAAAAATAACTGGAGAGCCACGAATTGCAAACAGTTGATTGGTAGAATCAAGAGATGCATTCGCAAAGTTGACATGAAGGCCGTACAACGCTTCTGTTCCGACATCAAACGGAAGCTTCGCCGAACATCCGATTACGGACCGTTTTCAAATGTTCACTACTTTTTTTTTCAACAATGGACAATGTATCTTTAATTTCAATAAATCAGATCTTCTTCAAGTATGTTTGTCTTTTTTTGACAGCTTGAGAAAGAAATTCCAAAATTTTAGTAGCCACCCGTTATATGACGGAAAATGAAATAACACATTTAAAGCATTTCACACGTGAAAACACGTGAAGATTACACGTAATATTTTTAATTTATCTTCCATCCATATATTTATCTAAAAAAAAATGATCAAAAACGGGACATAACACATTTAAAACAAATTGAAAGATCGGTGATAGAGTGTTCGTGAAAGGGGATTGAAAGCCATAATGAGGTTCGTTTAACTAGAAAATCGACGTTAGTTACATTGAAAGCGATGAGCAAAGCAACGACGAGAAGTTCCACAGCCAGCGTTTCCTTCTAAGCGTGCTTCTTTTTCACTATCATTTCTAGCTGATAGTCTAGCTAGGCGTTATAGAAATGAAGCGTCGAACACGTATGTATGAGAGAAAAAAAAACACGAGTTCAGTTTAGAGCTTCGAAAATGTAGAGCCCTGCTTACCACTACACCACCGGCGCCGGCCCAGGGCTGATTATTTGGTTTGCTCCTTTCAGCCTTTGACTACACTGAACCAAAACATCATCCTGGCATCGAATGGTTATTGCCTCACGCAAGCCCTACTATAACTATTATCAGATGATTTTGAGAGAATCTTCATTCGATTTATCATCTGTTGGAATATAAACAAATCAAATGACAATCATCCATATAATGAATGTTTTAGATCGATTTTCGAAAACCAAAGTAGACATAAATCAAACATAAAATCATAGGATAATCGTATTATTTTAAACTAATTATTAAATTGAAATTATATGATCGATTTTCGGATGAAAATCAGGTGCACAACATCAACTCATTTTACAATTTATTTATGATTATATTATTTACAAGTTGTGTTTAACCTGAGGTGGCGGGTCCTTGAGAGACGAATGATGATGGCGAAGTAGAGCCAATTGAAGGGCAACGATGTTTTTTATACAGTAGATTGATGTTGGCTTCGTAGACAGGAATTGTCAACGATGTCATTACAGGAGCAATTGCTCTGACTCTTGGGAAACGTATCCGTAGGTTGCTATGGGGCCTGGAAAATAATAGGAAAACTTCAATAGCCTCATCGTGCTAGTGCATCTGGAAGAAAACTTATCTTCTGGCCTCGTTAGTAAAATTGGTCGACCACGACGTAGCGCTGACCGTTCCGAATGCTGACATTCTTGAACATTAAATGCATGTGGGTTAGCAAAATGATACGTATACTTACATCTGAGCATTTCAATTCTCTTAAGACCTTTGAAAATATACAACAACTTTACACTCAAGTTTTCACATAACGTGTGTTGTCATTTTTTTTTCGGTTATAAAAGATTTTATAGTTGATATCCATTTTTTTTAGTTATGGGACTATCTCAAATGATATTCCATTCGTTTCCATACTGAATGTTTTTCATTATAATCTAACATATTTATTGCTAACGAAATACATACAAAAACATGTCAATATTCATTCACCAATCAAAAGAGCATCACATGTTTCCGAAATCATCCGACTGTTTTTGTCATACGGTTTTCAGAAACATTGAAAATGGATGCAACTGAATGATGTTTCATTCTATAAATGGAGGGTGATTTGGTTCAGTGTAGTTCAGGCTTTGACACCTTTGAAACCGCAAGGGAGACTCGCCAGTGACAGCAGCGTTGCCAGATATACCGATTTATCGGTATTTATATCGATTTCCAAGCTCGATACCGATATACCAATAAAGCTCCTCAGAATAACGCTTTTGGAAATTTCATACCGATTTATACAGATTGTTTTAATCACAATTTAGAACATTACTACGATGCCAATCATACCAACTCAGCGACTGGCAATAGAAGATTTTTCACTGATGGATCACGCATTGATGGATCCACTGGCTTCGGCGTCTTCAATGAATACTCAACCGCCTTTCGGAAACTTCAGGAACCTTGTTCCGTTTATGTTACTGAGCTAGCAGCAATCAACTTCGCATTGGGGATGATTTCCGATATGTCCATAGACCATTACTTCATCTTCTCGGATAGTCTCAGTTCGATCATCTTATTTCCATTCAAAGGTAAGGGAAGCAGATGAGTTTGCTGGTCGAAAGATCATATATGATTACCTTTGTATTGGTCCCCTCACATTGCTCAATCCCAGGCAATGAGAAGGCAGACTCTCTCGTAAAGGTTTATGATAGAAGAATTTCACATGATGTATTTTTCCCATTAGTACGTCAGAGTTCTCTTCTAAGTTGGTAAAACAATTGGAAAAATAATTCTCTTGGGCGGTGGTTACATTTCATTACTCCAAATGTTTCTTCGAGAGCGTGGTTCAAAGGTCTGGATGTAAGTCGGGGATTCATTGGCGTGATGTTAAGACTTATGTCCAACCACTACTCGCTAGAAGCACATCTCTAAAGAATAAACCTCGTTGACAGCAATATATGTAAGTGCAGAACCGATTATGATGACATTGATCACGCAGTTTGGAATTGCCCGGGTAATGACGCCTCCAGAGCACGTCTATTGGATACCCTAGTGGCCCGAGGTAGACAACTCTTCCGTGAAGTAAGAGATGTATTGGGAACACGTGATCTTCCCTACATGCAAGCGATCTACGAATTCCTTTATTTGTCTGATGTTAGAGTTTGATATGACCATCCCTTCCTTTCCAAACAATTTCCAGCCATTGTGTCCCAGTCTTATTATCCTCCTGTTCCTGTGCTACTTGCCCCTGCCCAGCCAGGATTTGGTCAACCGTCCGAGAGTAGTATCTGAAGGAGGCTTCAGAAACCAGTTTCCTACTTAGCTCTTTCCAATCGAAATTGTTACCCATTAACCTCGAGCCCGCCACGAGTAATTGGTACCCAATACTAACCTAGAACTACTGCTATTTAAAATGTAAATTCAAACATTACTGATTTTGGCTTCGCAAAGTGTCACACACTACTGAGCCTAGTAAATAAACGAACTAGTTAAAAAAAAACTCAGCGACTGAGATTGACCCAGAGAATTTTCTTTCCATAAAAAATTTACTCAGATTTGGAAAAAACAAATTGCAGTTACTCACAAGCTATGAGTAACTGCAGGTTATTCCAAATCTGAGTAAATTTCGTATGGAAAGAAAATTCTCTGAGTCAATTAATCTCAGTCGCTGAGTTGGTATGGAAGTAGATTTTCCGTTCTTAGCCCAAAAGTTTAAATTTCCGCCTTTTAAAATGACAAAAATATAATATTTATTAAAATAAGAAATACCGATAAATACCGATTTTTTTAAACCTTTAATACCGATAAGCTTGAAAACAATCTGGCAACGCTGAGTTTCAAAGTTGTTTTTGTGTGTTGTAATTTCTGAAAAGAATTCCCCAAGAAACAGAGTTTGAGGGTGGGGACTTCAGAAGGGAATCCCCCAAGAAACACGGAGTTTTTTTTATGTAAAAGTTATGCATGTAAGGGTATACATCCTAATCTAAAGTCCTTCCCAATTCCAGCTCCACGAGGCAATCAACGGTTCGATCTCGTTCGTGATCGTGCGGCACCCGTTTGAAAGACTGGTAAGCGCCTATAAGGACAAAATTCAATACGCCCTACCAAACTCGCACCACCAGAAGCTAGGCGTTCGAATCATCCAAAAGTACCGCAAAATAGCAAAGGGCCAGGTAACTGTTACAACCAAGAATCAAAGTTTCATAAATGGAAGAACCTATATTTTCAGCCATGGAACACTCAGAAGTATCCCACATTCCCGGAGTTTGTCAATTACCTGCTGGACGAGGTCCGGCATCCGCACACCGAGATCGACATGCACTGGATACCGGTGACGTACTTCTGTACGCCCTGTTTCTTCCACTACGATGTGATAGCCAAATTCGAGACCCTGGAGGAGGACCAAAACTACCTGATAGCGGTTGGCCAGCTGGGACATATGATCAAACCCCAGTGGAGGAATGCCGGCAAGGGAGCCCACACGAACGATTTGGTACTGAAGCTGTGCAAAGAGCTGGACGACGACCAGATCCGAGGGCTCTACGAGTACTACAAGTACGACTTTGAACTGTTCGGATACAGCACGGAGGAGTACTTCAACGGACGGGGACGCTAGGGCTTTTTGTCAAATTACACTGATCATCAACCAGAGTCAGACCAAGCTAGAAATTGCGCGCGCAAGAGGGGCAACGAATAGCAAACCGTTTTAAGGGTTTTAAGCATATAGGCATCCAAATTAGTCGTTGAAAGCGAAGTGACTATTCCTAGAGACGCGAGAACATATTTTTATATCGTGAATTGAAATCAATTTTAGACGTCCAATAGAGTGTAGAATAAAAAAATATTACAGCAGTTTCTCTTCCTAGGATTACCATTTTTGGCCCAAAGAGCATTTCCTGCTGAACTAGAACTATTCAAGGGAAATACATAGTAGTAGCCAAACAGCTTTTCTAGATTTTCAGTGAAAGTCAAGTAAGCTATCTTTCACTGCGAAAACGATTTTTGATTCATCCAGTAATGGCAGAATGCGTGTAGATTTCATGCTTTGAACAATCTATTTGTTTTTGGTTATGCACAGTCATATGCTCAAAATTTAGATGGATCTGAACATAACCTACTCACCTAGATCTCAACAATTTCCTTAATGGAACTTGACTTCCTTTGCTTCAAGCTTGAACTATCCTGCTTTATAAATTATGATTTTTTAATTTGACTAGAAAACACCAATCGCTTATGAACAGAAAAAAAAACGAAACTTATAGTAAGTTTAGCAATACTTTATTCCATATTTATGTTGCAGTTAGTTGACAATACCAATCAACGAATTTTTGAAAGTATCTATTTAGAATCAATTCGTTAAATTAGATCAATAATGGTATCGACGGTTACTTAAAATAAACGAAAAAGGCAACCAACATTGATTAGAAACATATTGAAAAGTATAAGAAAACATTGTGATGAGCAGAATGATATCAATTAGAGATCAATAAATTTGAATTCCAAATCAAAAATGGCAATAATAAAAACATTTCAACTAGAATGAATCGACTAAAGTAGAACCAACCATGTTTCTATAAAAGATGACAGTTATCTTACCTTTTATAGGTGCAGTTAAATACAGGTACTCCAATCACCAGCAGCTCATTATGCACTTTGGTCCAAACGTCTCCGTACTTCACCAGGGGTTGCTTTTCGTCCGGATTCTCCGTTCGCAACAAGCTTGGAACCTGCTTCAGCCGTTTATTCAACTGTTCAAACAGTTCCCCACTTACAGTTCGAACCGCGGCCAGTTCTGCGCGACGTTGATTGGTTCGCTCTTTAAGGGTTTTCAAAACCTCATAGAAACAGGTAAAACTATTCACACTGGCAGCACTGGCTTCCAATCGGTAAGCCTGGAAATCTGTTACGATCGGATCGGTTTGTTGTTCTACATAAATTTTCACCACCGGAAACCCAGGTCGATCGTCACTTTCCGTTATCTCAAGCTTGATGAAACCCTCAAAGGTTTGGTAGTGGACAAATTTCACGCAAGGACACGTTTTCCTTTCAATCACCACCAAAGACCGTTCGATCTCCAATAAATAGAATGTCTTCCGGTCGATTCCATCGTTGGAACGGAACATAGTTAAATTTATCTTCCGATCTTCTTTCGCCGCATCATCGATCGGCGTTGGGGGAGACAGTGTTCCAAAAATACTAGAAACTACCGGTGGTTCACGGTTCCCGGCGACAACAAGGCTGGTCAAATCAATCGCAGTAACAATCGAATGCTCTTTCACTTCCAACAACTGCCGGTCGGTGGTGATCACAGCAAGCACGGAGTTTTTCCGACCGATCACGATTTTTTCCACGTACAACAACTGATTCAGTAGGCGTTTCGGTATTTCTTCCTGGTGTTCACTTGAAGTCATTTTAAGTCTTGATAATACTGAATGTTGCAAAAATTGATCAGAATAATTATTATTTTGATTTGTTATCAAATTTTAAATTGATGGATGATACTGAGCAAAACATAAACAAAACAAACTACGCGCGTGTTCGGCTCATACAGGGATGCCAGAGTTTTTTAAACTTATTTTAATGTTTGAATTTAACAATAAAGAAAAAAACATACAACCCTAATAAAAAATAACCATAAACGAACGATAACCCAAATCATCGAACTACTCAACAAATGGTTTGGATGATACTCAGAACACGTCGTTAAGCAAATTAACCATACAATTTTTATTATAGGGAAGGCCAATCATACCAACTCAGCGACTGAGATTAGTTGACTCAGAGAATTTTCTTTCCATACGAAATTTACTCAGATTTGGAAAAAAAAAAACTGCAGTTACTCATAGCTTGTGAGTAACTACAGTTTTTTCCACAGCTGAGTAAATTTCGTATGGAAAGAAAATGCTCTGAGTCAATTAATCTCAGTCGCTGAGTTGGTATGATTGGCCGTGTTACACGGATAATCGAAAGAACTCAAAATGATTAAGTCTTTTGATTAAGTGCAACGAGTGCAACCAGTAAAAATTGAGTTCGTTAAGGGTATTGAGGTAAATGCATATTCATAATCTGTGTGTGTGAGTATAATCCATCGCCCTCTGTACCGGCAGAGTTTTTATGGAAGAAACTTATCTGCATTTTCTGTATGTCGAATGTGCAAATATTTTTAGCCCTGGAGATGGAAGGTGACAGCTCTATCGTACATCAAACGACTCATTTCAAGAATGCCTGTTTCTGCACGTACATTCTGAGGTCATTTTCTGATACAATAAGCCCCGCAAAAATACACAAGTGTATTCTCACTTCCAGAATAAAAAAAAAACTTTTTATTCTGGCACGTAGGGTAAATTATGGCTTCGGCACCCATTGACTGTTTTCGGCAACCGAAATTGAAACGCTTATTTCACTGTATTTTCCCATCAAAACTCTTCGCTGGATGCATTAAGCCGATTCCTTACCTTTTCAGCTTCAATCTGATTACATTTTTACGACTGTGAATTCCTGTTATACCATATTGTTCTTTAAATGAAATATACATACTACAAAATACGGCTGATTTCGAGTTGTCGATAATAGAACAGCTGGTTAACATGCAGTTCAAATGGAAAGGGTGCCGAAGAAAAAGAGACTGCCGACAATTGAGAAATCCAACTTAAACTCATGCGCGCCTGGTGGCAAGAATAAGCACTCACCGACGGTGATAAGTCTGTGACAGCCCTTGAAAATGTCATTGATTGTTTGCAAAATTATTTAATTTCAATGTAATTTCATGAAAATTTCTTGTCAGCATGGATGAATCTTGTACAAAATGCATAAAACTATTTTGTAATGCATTGTCCTTAAATAAAAAGCTACTTCAAGACTTATAAATTACTGAAAACATGTTAAGGTTTGAAATCATCTGCCGATTAAACAACAGACAAAGTTGGCCGACTAAATCAATCGACGAAAAACTATTAAATATGCCGATTGCTCGGTGTAGCACCAGACGAAAAACGATTTAATCTGCTGATTAATACACCGACTGAAATTAATTACAAGTGACAATAGATTAAGTCGGTTGACGAATCGGGTGATTTGAATGATGTTTGTTTATTTGGAAGATATTTTCGAAATAAAACACTTTAAAATTCAGCATTTCTTACCATTATAAAGAGCATTACTTTTTTGCTCGGATCATGCTTTGACTTCGACAGAAACTCGCTAGAATAAATAGAAAATAATAGTTTTTTGGTTGAAATTTCAAAAATGTATTCAGTTTGACACATTATTTCGAACTTATCACCGCTGCGATTGCAGCGTCACGGTGGTCGATTGAAACATGGATTTGTCAATAGTCACTCTCACCTGAGAAGTTTGGAGCGTTGTAAAAACATGTTCAACCCGTTTTGATCAATTCTGTCGATTGGAATTGGTAGAACAGCAAGCAGCAGATAAATGTCAACAAACAAACCTGTCATGTATGTGTGTGACGCTGAGCAATCGCTAATAGAAGTTCGGACGCTGCTTAGATTGACGAGAATACGTAAATTCCCCTATATAGTTATAAAATGATTGGGATATATGTGTAAAATAAAATAAAAAGCAAGTGTACTTATCTGGTTGTTCCAATGTGATGAGTGAGTCTCCATCGTACCTTGATGTTCACGTCTCCTTTCCCGTTTCCTTGTTTCTTGTGCTAAGGCAATCGCCAGCTGCGTCGGTATGAAAATACACTTGCCAAAGCCGGTGGTTTGTAGATGTTCGAAAATCTTAATTCCTTCGTCATTTAGGAACAACTCGATATAGGTGTATCCGATGAAGATCTGCTTCATCCAGTGGTTGGGCAGTTTTAGGTTTTGCAGCATATTTTTATCGGTAACCAGCGGAGCCAGCTCCAACCACGAACCCCACATCGTCGGTTCTGCATTGATAGCATCCACATAGATCTGCACCGCCATCTGATTCAGGTCCAACTTCTTCAGGATGACCCCGTACAACCACAAACAATATCCGTCCAGTTTCTTTTGGCCATGATCCACCCGGAGCGTGGCCAGCAGTTCGGAGAAGTCCTTCACATGACTGTTGGAGTTCACAATCGAATGATCGCTCATATTGTCCAAATGCTTCTTCTCCTTGGACATGTACGTCGCATACATGTGCAAGAATCGTGGAACCGTCGAGCTGCAATTTCGCGTAAAGTAAGCCGACCGGTCGTACTCCCGGACGTCGAAGTAACTCTTTGCCAGCACATAGTCATCGTACTCCTCGCTGGCAATGCCGGAATGCAGATTTTCGAATGATTTACCGGTATGCTTCAGAGAAACATCAGACAAACCGTGGTTTAGCTCCGATAGCCATTTGGCACTCTGTACCAGACCCCGCTTGTTACACTCGATTATGCCCAGCAATAGGTCCTGTTTCACGTCCTTCAGGTTTATTTACAATGTTTCGTTCATTTTCCGCGTCGATGCGTTTTTGATGTTCTTTATAAACTCAGGTAAATGCATATTCATAATCTGCATTAAAATTGGAACCGAAATAAAAAAAATCATCAGTTTTTGTGAATTAGAACTATTTTAAATAGGTGCATTAGCAAAAATCATCATATTAGCGTATCTAGGTGTTAAGTTTCCGGGTTCAAATTCGTGCCCAAGACGCCATATTTAAAATACGTTAAACACTACCGCCATCTACTCATCAAATCGCGTCATATCTGGATCAACAATAGAAAAGGGCCCATCAGCATTTGTAAACAAATCGTTCCATGCCAAATCGAAGGCCGCTTACACAATCCAACACCATCATCGTGTAGGTAGAAGTTTCCCCTATCCGATGATGCGTGCTTTCGCTTTGTGAGTAAAGGGCTTTGGAACGCCCTAATAAACAAATACCATAAACGAACTGTATCCCTGATGGGTAAATTACTGTGGCATATGGGTTCGTCGGTGCTCATAACGTAGGTAAAAATGTCAAGATCACAGGTATAAAAATGAAACTATAACGTGTAGAATTGGAACCTACCTAACTAATAACAACCAAAGATTTAAGTAAAGTAAAGGAGAAAAAGCTATTCGAATCTGTAATAAGGACTCAATGTGCTTGTCACTTGGGAGCCAGTGTGAACTGTCAAACGGGAGCCAAACATTCACAGAAACAAAATCCATCGGCAAAAATACTATAATGATGGTTTAAATTAAATACTCCCGCCAATAGATTTGTGCAGAAACGAAATTCATTTAAGGTGATTCCCCGTAGCGTCCTTTTTCGTGTTACACTTAGCAATTTCACATGTGAAAATATTAAGCTTTCTGTGAATGCACGTAGCTGAAACTACTACTTGTTGTTTGCTGCGGAGAATCAAGCAATGTCTGAAATTTACAGATGCATAAACCTCGTAGATCTTGAGTTGTGTGCTTATGAAATTGTGAGGTGTGATGGAAAAATGGACTCCACAAGGAAACACCTTAATTTGACTAATTTTTCTATCGAAACTACTATACCGTTTGAGTCAGCATAGTAGTTTTGACAGAATGGTAGTAAATTTGATTATATTTATAGTCAACTATACTGAAATCATGGTAGATTTAACGGTATTAAGCGTAGTTATACTGAAAATAAGTGTTTTCTGCAAAATAGTATTCCTAACTATTATCTTTGTTTCAGTGTTCAGAAGCGACAACTGCAGTTACTGTTGTAAAACATTGTAATCTCATAAAAATGCTAAATGATCCGAGAAATGATCCATGCTTTATCATAGCACATTCTTAATTTTAATCTCAAAAGCAAAAACCAAATGATGAGGGAGTTTTTTTTATCTATATTCGGTTGCTCATGTGGCCAAATCCAGGCCCAGGAGACAATTTCTAGTTCACTAAGACAGAAGAAGCCCTGCGAGAGCTGCATCTCATTGTATCTACGCCTACGTCCCTGTTATTTCCAGCTGAGAAGCTGTTCCGAAGACAAGTAGAACCTCCATGAGGCGTTCCATCATTCGTTGAGTCGCAGCGTTACATACATTACATACATTCGAACATTTGTTTATCTCAAATCGACGGAAGACATTCCGCATCCGCACAAGTACCATAAACCGGACTAGTTCATGTTGATCTTCGTCAAGCTTCGTCTACAATTTGGACTTCAACAACACATGTCAGGCATCCTTCAGGTTCAATTGGCTAAACTTGGTGAGTTCGTTTCATTTTGTAATTTTTTTTAAACCAGTAACGTTGAGAGATCACCTTTTTTTGGTGCGTTACTGGTATAAGATCTACCATCGAACCCTAGTCGTGACAACTTCAAATTAGGGAATCAGGATTTTCCAGTAATCAAAGGATCACATTTCAGTCCTTGTTACTTTTTATGACTTTATAATAGTGACAAGACCCGGGTAGTGACCACCGCCGTTGTACATTTCTATATTGTATATTTCAAATCATAAATATTGTTTATGTTCATAGAGTTTTTACCACTTTATACTCTGTTCACATTACAGCGTATATCACGTGATTACGTGATAGACGCTGTCTTGCAATGAGCACTCACACATCTAGTTTTCACTGGAAATCCTACACACTTAATCATGGCTTTCCTGTTCGGTAATTTTTTTTACAGTTTTCGAACTGTAAATCACAAAAAATACCGAACATACAGCTATTCTCAATGAAACTACTGATGTTCAGTAGCTTTTGCGACTAACTACTGAATACGGTAATAGCAAGTAGGTACTGAATTTTCCGTAAAATAACAGAATTACGGGGAATGACTACAGCTCAGTAAAATAGAGTACCGAGTTTTCAGTATTCATTATGATTTACTGAATGATCATCAAATGAAATTCAAAATTGCTGATCTCTCCAGTAAGTGAACTTGTTTACTTCGCGCACTTGACCCCGGAATTCGCTGTGTTATGCAGAAACTACCACGGAATTGCGCAGTTTATGCACTCCAGCATCGACTTCCAGATGTTTCAATAATTTTGAAGGAAAAACACTCACTAACATTGCCTTTTAGCTCCATGCATGGACATGCAATCCGGCACACCGAGAGAGCCACCAACCAACCGGCTGAATCACCATGATGAAGCGTTAAACTTGAAACTCAGTCCCCTAATAAAAAACATAAATTTTCATCCTCCCTTTGTATGGAACTTTTTTGATGAATTCACTGACTTATTCACCAAAAAAATAAAATAAAAATACCGAAAAACTAAGCAAAACAATGCAAACAAATACATTACTGAAAAAGTCAGCAATTATTTTACTGAGTTAAACGGTAATTTTTTAAAAGTTCAGAGATTCTGCAATTTACGGAGTTTTCAGTAAAAGTAAAAACTACTGGATTGATTTCTGAAAACTCAGCTGTTTAAAAACCCAGTAAAATTTTACCGACTTTGGTAATCTGAACTCTGTGTGTATGTATGAGTGCTCATTGCAAGACAGCCTATATTACGTGATATAGGTTGTAATGTGAACGGGGTATTACATACTCCTTTCCCTTTCCCTCTTCTCTTTTAAGAAAGCGAGTAATGGCGCTATAGCCATAAGCCATAAAAGGCTAGGACAAGAGTTAGTGCTCATGTCCCAAACCGTCAAAAGAAAATGGAGCATCACTTAACCTTCTTAGCTTTGATGCTTCCAACAACCAACCAATCATATAATTACCAAAATCGGAACGTACGGTACGAGATGTCCACGTTTCATCCATTTATTACGGGTGTCACTTCACGGTGAAAACGAAGTGAAGTGAGTAGTTGTCACTCACGGTGAAGTGATTGCCGTGTAAATCAAATGGGAATCACTTCACCGTGAGTGATAAGTTGTCACTTCACCGTGATGTGACATCGGTAATAAGGGCCATTGAATTCTGAAGCATCGTGTTTAAGTCTTCGATTTAAACAGGCCCGATGTTTTCTGAATTATCTTGCCCCTTAAATGCTGCACAGTAGGCCTGGCCGTTTTGATATGTGTGACGCATCTTCGATGTGAAACATACATCAAATAGACAAGAAAAATGATGGAGGTATATGCATCATTTTCCAGGATGCTTTCAAGAACTGGCTGTGTTGGTGTTAGATTAGATTGATTAGACAAAGGCAAAAACCAAGTGATGAAAGTATATAAACCAGCTTAGTTTTTTACAGTTTTTATGACTCAGATGAGTTTTCAATTGCAGTACACTGGAGTCGCTTTTTACGCGGTTTTTTTTTACACGGTTTTTTTTTACGCGGTTTTTTTTTACGCGGATTTCGGAATTTACGCGGTTTTTTTTTACGCGGATTCCGGAATTTACGCGGTTTTTTTTTACGCGGATTTTGGTTTTTTTTTACGCGGATTTCAGAATTTACGCGGTATATCGCTTTTTACGCGTTTTTTTCTTACACGGTCTTTTTTTACTCGGTTTTTTTTTACGCGGATTTCGGAATTTACGCGGTTTTTTTTTACGCGGATTCCGGAATTTACGCGGTTTTTTTTTACGCGGTTTTTTTTTACGCGGGACATATCACCCGCGTAAAAAGCGACTCCAGTGTAAAACATAAGTTGGCGAAACATGTATACAAACTTTGATAGAGTCTTGGGGCTCGAGCACTTCTGGATCAGAGATTTCGTCGGGAATCAACTAAAAAAGAGCAAAACAGTTTTAAACAGGAAAAAAAAAATTCAAGCAGTTTGGCTAGCAAAATAAAATCGATCGACTCCGCAGTACCCAGCTTTCAAGTTAGCTTGTAAACCACGAAATAAAGTTAACTTCAGAAAAATTCTGGAACTTGGGCAAAGTTCTTTGAACTTCACAGGTAAGTCCATAGAAGTTAAGAGATCCTTAGGGAAGTTATATATTATACAATATAAATTTGTTTGTATGACGTATTTGATTCGTTCGAAAACAGGAATAAGGTTGACTATCTTAAAAGAAGCAAATGTCATGTGAAGGGTGAAAAAGGCTCAATAATACTTACTAAACCTCGTAAGTTCGACATTGAACTAAGAAGATGAGAAACCCATATCAATAATATGAAGAAGTTAGCTGATTTTTTTTGGAACTTTTCTTTCAGTTGTAAATATAAAATTCAATTCGTATCATTTTCTTTTCATAGTTTAGTTTTTATAAGAAAATGTATCTCTATTGTTGATCTTTCCTTTGCATTTTCTGTTTTTTTTTTCTCATTTTCGTAGGATTTTCATTTCATTAAATTAAATTTGAATGAAAAGACATTAAACATAAATAAACATTTCGCCTTCCACTTTCTCTTATAAACAGTTTTAGTTTTATTACCTTTAATTTTAAGTGATATAATCACAAACAAAGCTTGTTACTCATTGACTGTTCGTCAATTTAACCTATAACATATCGATTTTTGTTTCCGAGAAAACGATTAGTTTCAGTATATAAACTATTTTTTCCTTTCATTTGAAATTTTCAGATTTTTTAATGTTTTTCTGCTTTCTTTTGAGTTTTATTTTGCTCCTATCGATATAGACTTAAAATTATAAACAAACAAAAACAATGCTTGCGGCTGACCAGTTTTTTTTTTTCCTTTTGTTCCGTCAAGCACACAGCTCTAGAGGACTCGAAACTAATTACACATTTTTTAAATCTGCTTTTTTTTTACTATTTTAGACCTATTTTTTCCCTACATACCTAAACTCGCTCGTGCACTTTACCTTAGCTTGTGTTTCTGTACAGTTGATTTCGATTTTACGAGTTTTTTTCAAATTAAATAAAACATCAAAAAACAGTTCGATCTTTAAGCCCAATCCGAACTGCCTGACTCGTACAACTCCCCCCATTAGTCATTCATGTTCACGATCCATGATGCTTGATATATGTACATAAAATTCCCTAAAATCACGCATACACTCACACATACATACACGTCTTGATGATTCTCTCTCATTCTTACACAACTATGCTCTCCGAACCTCCTGACTTAAGACCTGCCCTGACCATGAAACGCATTTGGATTGGACCATTTTCCTTCTGTACGTGCGTCCCTGAAGTGGGACTGTTGCCATCGGATTCAGAGAAAAACCTTTTCGTTGGCGGATGAACAGATACCGGTGGTTGGTCCGTACCTGTGTTGGTTCCATTCGCAACGCGTGTGGAAATGCACGGCTTCAGCAGAGAACGACCGTCATCATTGTTATCACCTTATGCTGTCGTACCACAACGAACGATCACTTGAAGTAGGCTTTGTAGAGCATTTGACTCCTGCAGCTTTCCTTCTCCTGTTCCAGATAGAATAACATATCACGCAGATTGACCCGTTTGATACGAGGCCTCAGTGGGGTGGCCGCCTTCCCGCTCACACCAATACCGATTCCGGAGGCACCGGGCTGAAATGGGATGGAATTTAACTTAGAAGATTAAGGTCAAAGTGATCTCAGGGTCGAATTACTAACCGCAACCGGTGTCGCTACTCCCTCTTCCAGTTTAGGCTTTTTCCGTGGTCCGATGGCCTGCAGGGCAGTCAGATTAGCGTCTCGTTGCCGTAGCTCTTCCATTTCCGCTCGTTGCATTTCTTTCGCCTATAATTAGAGTTCAATCAATACTGATCAATGACCACCCAACCGAATCAAGTACCTTGGCTTTGAGTTTGGCCTGCTCGGGATCTTCCGTTTTCGATCGTGACTTGGCCGCTCGCATTAACATTTCACGTTCCTGCTCCTCGTGTCGCTTTTGCTCTGCCTTATCGAGCTCTTCTAGGAACTTGATCTGCCCCCGGACGTCCTTTGTCACTTCGTACCGTGGATCAACCTGTTCAATCAATACAAATGTGCAGAATAGATATTCAACTTGAAGTCTGTTGGATTGAGTAGTCCTACCTTAATAATATCGATTCGATGTTCGGCGACGACAGCCAGCTTCTCCACAATATTCTTCAGTCGTTCCTGGCAGGCATGGGATATTAGTACTGCTACCTCACTACTCGGCTCCTCCAATCCGTGTCTCGCGACAATCCCCCGAATTTTCGCCTGTAGTGCAGACATATGAAGGAACACCTCATCTTTGCAGGACCGTATCTGTGTCCCCACAAATTCTGTCGAACCGAGAATCCGCTGGGTTTCCTCCGCTAAGTTGACACCACCCATGGCCGCTACATCGTTAATATCGTCATCCCCGTACATCGAGGAAGACACGTGATGCTGGTAAAAAGAGGATTGCATAGAGGCAGCTGCTTTCTTCGCTAAGGACGAAGGATCGTTCGAATCAGCGGAACTGGCGGCGGCACTAGCATTAGCTTTCTTTTTCGAGGCCGCCGACGAGCTCTGCGATTTCGATCCCGAACTGGCTTTACTACTGGAAGGTGTGACTGTGGTGGAAGAGCTGCTAGTGCTGGCAATGAAGACCGTACTGGCATTACTGATACTACTAGTAGTACTGCTAATGGCCGCGGAAGTAATACTAGGGGCCGTACTGACCGCTATGGTCGTTGCCGGAGGGATGCTTGTACTGATTAAACTCGTAGAGCTATTACTATTGCTAGCATTATTCAAATTGGCCACGGCAGCGACCGCGGAAGAGCTAAGTGCCAATGCAGGCAAAGGCTGATTCCCGGTCACGACTAAACCGGGTGCCGCCGATGGTGACGATGCTGCGACGACTACATTGCTGTTACTAATTGCTGTCACTTGCTTGACCTGAGTGGCCGTGGAACCAGATGCCGCAGCGGCCGCTGCTGCTGCAGCAGCTGCCACCGAAGCCACGGCGGGCGTTTGACTACGTATCGTTTTGGTGGTAACCATCGTGTTGTTGTTGATGGCGTTGCTGCGCGATACTACCGGTGTGGTCGCACGGATTTGTAGGGTCGCTGGCGTACGCGTTATTGCCGTACCGACCGGAGCGCGAATCTATACGAAATGCATCGGTGCAATTTATACACGGCACACGCAAACGGCAAAAAATGGGAGCGAGTGGAGGGCCAACGTGATCGGTTGAGATAAAAAAGAAAAAAGAGAAAGGATAACGAATTTACGTTATTTTCGATCGATTATGATTGTGCGTTACAGGGAGGGTATTGCTAAATAACGGAATGGCTTAGCCACATGCGCAATCTACGGTGTAAATCTACTGGAGCGGAGCGATCCTATTCGAGCATCACAGTTCTTGTAGGTGAGTTTATCATACGTTTACCTGTATCGTATTAATCGATTCTCGAAAGGGTTAGGTCTTTGGGGCATTTGGATTAGGGCTACACTTAGGAAACTAGACGCACGATAGTCATGTGATCAGTTTAAAATTCTTGTTTTATAAGAAATCGAATGAAAACTATCCTTGATAAAAGAGCTTAACGACGTGTTCAGATATCATCCAAACTATTTGTTGGATAGTTCTACCATTCGGGTTACCGTTCGTTTATGGTATTTGTTTATTAGGGTATGCATTCGGCAAGGAATGCATGGTTCTTAGGTATGCTTTTAATCACCATGCTTGTGCGTTGCAGTGGCACAGCCAGGATGTTAGTCAAAAGGGGAGGGGAGGGGGGAAGGGATTGTATAAAAATGACGTAATTAATAAATATATATATTTTTTGAAGGCTAGTGACAACCAGGTAACAATTTCTGCTAATCAAGGAAAAATTTGAGTGGCATATATGCATGGCACACGGCCAATGAGAGTAACTCGGTAACTGACTTGAATTCGACTCAAAAGTGCAAAAAGCTGGGTTACTCAATGAGTGAGTAAAATTTTCCTCGATTTTCCAGGAAAAACTTCTTGAATATGAGGAAAATCGAGATAGCAAATAGTAATCTTTATCTATAACTTTGTATTAGACACAGTGTTCGGAAAATCATTCTCAAATCTCATTCAATGAGTCTCCCTGGGAGAAATAAGCTGGCGGGCGAAACTTACGCTTGAGATCATCATGCTTTTTCGCGCACTCACACTCACTGCGCCGAAATATCATTCCAGTTTAAAATTCATAAAACTCAAACGTAAAGTGGTAGCATTTGTCTGCATTTTGTGTCAGTTTTCAATCAACTGATGCAATAACAATGAATAACGCCAAAATATAAATCAATTAATATTTTTACCTTAAAACTCATTGGTGAATTTTGCAAGGCAAAACTCAGAGACGAATAAATTCACGCATGAGATTTGAGTTTTTGAGATTTTCCAAACACTGCCGAAATGCCGTTTCCGTGCTATAATGTTTTAAAAATTTCAAGGACGGCATTTGGAAAACTATACAAAATCCAAATGACCAAATTTCATACAAATCGGAGAAGGTCGATTCAAAAATTCATTATTATTTTTTTTGTTATTTTGCCTGGAACTGCTTAAATGCTCCCTACTTAAAGTTCTACTCAAAACTATCAAGATAAACTCCTCAGGTTTCACATGGCATCTGGAGTTCCTCAGAACTACCTTGAAAGCAAATTTCACTCGATGTTTTCTCACAGTTCTTCCCAGAACTACCTTGGAACGAGTTCTAAATTGATTGATGAGTGTTTTATTAGAATAATTGTATACCTTATTGCGTTATTTTTCCTTTTAATCCTACTACTATTGTATCACTTTCACTAATTCACTATTCCCTATTCACTTTCACTATCACTTTTCAAAAATAACAGATACGCATTTCGTCTATTTCGTTGACTACTTGCTAATTTCTTCAGTGTCTAGACACTGAAAAAGTTTGCAAGTAGTAAACGAAATACGTACCTGTTATATATATGTTTTTAAAGTGATAAGTAAAATGAATAGTGAATTAGTGAAAGTGATACAATAGTAGTAGAATTAAAAGAAAAAGAAAAAACAACGTAATAAGGTATAAACTATGCTGGTCCTAATTCTTTGTTTTTTTCAAATCTGTGATTTTGGAAAATGCTCAATGTCCGAAATCATGAGCCAGATTCTTGAAAATTTATAAAAATATATTGGCTCATAATTTAAAAACAAATTTCAAATTTAAAACCAAGTTTCCAGAAACCTAACAAAACAATCTAACCGAATTTACTTTGATACTGAAGATAAATCCGCTCCGAATCTATTGCGTTCAATGAGTGAAAGAAAATAACAAGGAAAATTTAATGATTGCCTAATAAATGCATTATTTTATTTAAAAAAAAAAAGCGCACAGTAAGATAATTTAAAAATTACATGAGTAATGACTAGAAGGTCCCGAAATAACGTGCTCAACTTTTTGGCTCAGCTCTGGTACTATCTTCGGTCCCAAGCTAATCGATTCACCCCTAGAAACATAGGAAAATCCAATAACCCCTCATTTTATCTGTCAAACTTTCATAGCGAATCAAAACAAACATTGTGTAGTACTAGAATGTTGACTAGAATGGGGTACGTTAATCGTTTGCTTGGGACCAATAGGCTAGTCAAGTAGTGAGCCAATTTGAAATCGTTAGTTTCGTATTGATTGTTGGTATTACTAAGCCGGGTTCGATTCCGGGTCCGGTTCAGAACATCTATCGGGTTGAAATTCATACATTGCACTATGGGCCAGGAAACGAAGCAGTTCCGCAACTTGGTATCTTCAGCAAAGTTCCTCACAATAATTAGGACCATGTACTGACATTAACCGATAGTTTGATACTCAACCATTTCAAGTTTTTGCCGCAAAGATGGCAATACCAATTTTTTTTATTTAACATGCTAGATGAAAATATCTTAATAGATTGGAAAACAGTTTTTTTCATCAAATATTTTTTTGTTTTCCAAATTATTCGGAAACAGTAGGCTGTGAAATTTTAACAAAGAGTTGCTTATTTTGATAAGATGAACAGCTTTGTTAAAGACGTCAAGCCTCAAGAATGTCTTCGCTGAAGACACCAAGTCACGGAAATGGTTCGTTTCGGAGTTATTAATTTTGTTCCACTAGATCGCATTCGTGATCCACTGTGCATTGATTGGCATAGAAAGCTCTCAACTAATAACTGTGGAAATGCATAAAAAAACACTAAATTGAGAATAGGTGTAAGCTCGTATAAGAATTCAAAGCCAGCTACCCCATTTCGCATAATAGTAATTTGGCATACAACGATGGAAACGTTTCAATTTTAATGCGGTTTAATAACGCAAGCCACATAACAAAATAGGAAGTATCAAAGGTGAGGGTGAGGGTTAGAGGGTGAGGAGGATGCTAAAAGGAAGATTACAGTTAGATCTGAGAATAACTCCAGGAGATCTTCAAAGCAATTCGGAAAAGATTGCCAGGAGAGTTTGCAAAACAAACTGAGAGGAGAAATCTAAGGAATTTGCGAGAAGAAATGCAAATGAATTCTTATGATACTTTCAATGTGAGTAGAATTCCAAGGAAAGGTGTGATATTCAAAAGGAAATCGGAAAAGAATTCAATCAAAATCCTGAGAATTTTCCCAAAGCATTTCTTACTGAGGAGGTAATTCCGAGTAAAATTATAAGAAAATAGAATTCGGAGGATAATTTCAACAACATTTTTATGAATATTTCAATGGAATTGCGAGAAGTATTCTAAGTATGTTTTGGTGATATTTATCAGAGCATTATTTCATGAGAGTTTCGGGAGAATAACAAAGCGAATGCTGAGGATAACTCCAAGTGAATTGAGATGAGAAATTTTCCGTTGCATATGGAATGGACTAAAGGGTGATACGGTCAAAATTTGGTCAATATCAACTTGACGTATTTCTTTCAATTTTGCATTTAAAAAACCTGAACACCCCTCATTTTGAAGGTGTGTGTGTGTAGAATGTAGCTCCTATTTTGATTTTGGAATTCACTCTTCAGTTGTCAAAATGCCGACCAAGCAAGAAGAGCAGCGTATCAAAATTTTGCTCGCGCATCGCGAAAATCCGAGCTACTCGCACGCAAAGTTGGCAAAATCGCTAAAAGTTGCCAAATCAACCGTTACAAATGTAATTAAAGTGTTTGGGGAACGTTTGTCGACAGCCAGGAAGTCTGGATCGGGGGGAAATCGAAAACCGGAAGCCGCTGAGACGACAAAGAGAGTTGCCGGTAGTTTCAAGCGAAACCCTAACCTCTCTCTCTCCGAGATGCCGCAAATAAGCTGGGTGTATCGTCTACAACCGTGCATCGAGCCAAAAAACGAGCCGGACTATCGACTTACAAGAAGGTAGTGACTCCAAATCGCGATGATAAACAAAATACGACGGCCAAAGCGCGATCCCGGAGGCTGTACACGACGATGCTGACGAAGTTTGACTGCGTGGTAATGGACGACGAAACCTACGTCAAAGCCGACTACAAGCAGCTTCCGGGACAGGAGTTTTATACGGCAAAAGGAAGGGGAAAGGTAGCAGATGTTTTCAAGCACATGAAACTGTCAAAGTTCGCAAAGAAATATCTGGTTTGGCAAGCCATCTGTACCTGTGGCTTGAAAAGCAGCATTTTCATAGCTTCCGGGACTGTCAACCAAGAAATTTACGTGAAAGAGTGTTTGAATAAACGTCTGCTGCCTTTCCTGAAGAAACACGGTTGTTCCGTACTGTTTTGGCCGGATTTGGCATCTTGCCATTACGGTAAAAAGGCCATGGAGTGGTACGCCGCCAACAACATGCAGGTGGTTCCCAAGGACAAGAACCCTCCCAACACGCCAGAGCTCCGCCCAATTGAGAAATACTGGGCTATTGTCAAGCGGAACCTAAAGAAGACCAAAAAAACTGCTAAGGGCGAGCAGCAGTTCAAGGCAAACTGGCTTTCTGCGGCGAAGAAGGCTGTACAAAATCTGATGGCAGGGGTCAAGCGTAAGGCCCGGCAATTCGGATTTGGAAAAGCGGAAGCCTAACTGAATATTTTTCCTGAATTTTATACTAATTGAACTTGAAAAAGAAATTTAATTTGATTTTTTAAATAAACGATTTCACCGATTTACACGCGTTTTCCCTTGACCAAA